AATCAAAAACACCTGCATCTTGAACACCCCCATGACCAAAAACGTTGTCAAAACCCATAAGGTACTGTCGAGTAATCAGGGAGAAGTACTCTTTTGGTGTAGACTACCTTAAATTTTTTGACTAATGCCTTGTTGTGCAGTGTGAACTGGGTTTTATTTCTCACTATGGTGTCGGTGTGAGCCAGTACATGCCTGCTGTTATCACGCCCACTAACATAATCATCAACCAGCCCGATCAGTGTGTCTAACCTAATGGCTTGGGAGTTTACAGTATTTAGTGTTATGCCTTTAGCCTTCATACACACCTTACCCTTAGCGGTACTATAACCATATGACTTGGGACCGGAAGATGCAAAGATATTGATATAATCTCCACCATCCAACTCGTCAGTAAGTTCACCGAGATATGGTCCTAGCGGTGGGTCATATTCGCCTTCTCTATATGTGTAAATGACACTGTCAGTGTCACAGTATAAGACCCGCTCTCCCAATTTTTCTAGAAGATCATAAAGTTCTAATCGCCCGTAACATGTAGTAAAAGCTCCCAAGAATACGTTAGTGTCACGCGTCGACTTGCCTTTACCGTATGGTTGTGTGTACTGAACGAGTGCGATAGAGTCTGATAAAAAGGAAAAATAATTTATGTCATGCCCCTTTGCAAAAATGTGCCGAGCAAACTGTTCAGGATCTGAAATTAGTTCTGAGCTAGGAAGCTGTGATTTCAAGCTGAAGCGTCCCCAAAGTGAATTAAGAATTTGCTTATTTATGGAACGTCGTGCGGCATTAAATGTTATATTATCGATATTGAGTTTAACCCCCTCTTTTTCAAAGTAATCTTTGACATAAGACTCTTTCTCCTCATCAGTCACTACATCCTCTGGAAATCCGGAACTCTCCTGTTTAAACTGTAAAAAAGTTTTAACATAATCACTAAATAGTGTATCAGAGCGTTGAGAAAAATGCCAAACTTCATACACCTCAGAGACAACATAGCCTCGCTCCACAGCTTTTGACAACTCTACGCTGACCCAACATCCTGTCAGGGCCCTTTCCTTATCAGCATGCTGGCAGGGGGTGTCCTGATTTTGTTCTTCAGCACATGATCTGCAGAGTGGAAACATCAGCCTACCCCCTGTTCTATAGGGCAAGACAGGGTGAAATAAACCACGGGGCGGTATGACCTCTGCTTTGATGAATCCAAAATAATTTTCAAGATTTTCAAAATCTTTGAAAATTATTTTTGGATGCCCTACCGGATAGCTTTTTGTACTTTGTACAAAAGGGTAAAGAGAGGTGATGTCTCTGTAAAACACCTTTTCATCGTCCGATGTTTTGTGGTACAGCTTAAATGCGTTTACCCTACCTCCGAATAATGCATCACGCGGTTTTAATCTTTCAGGGCGTTTGTATGTGGACATGAAATCCATCACACCGACATCTGAATTTTTAGCCGCTTTCCAATCACACTCCCACATGAACTCTACCTGTAAGCCATACATCCGCTGCAAAATTTCACACCTGTCATTAACCTGTCTTCTGAGAACCCCATAAGACAATTTTGATAACGGGTTTATATCGTATGGATTATAACAACGTTCGCATCCATGATAAAAACAGCCTAAAAAATCAAATGCTTTTTTCACACGTCCGTCGTCATAAAAACCATCGACATGATATTTACCAAATGACACCTCGCCGCCATTTAGCGCATGTTGAATTTCTATGGACCGCGATTTTGCAACATATTCTAGCCATTCAATTGAGGCATTTGAATATGTTTTGTTTTGATTTGTGTAGCCGTCATTACGAGTCAGTGCCAATGTATCTTTTGGCAGAAATTTGGACTTGTACACACCCATGCAGCAACCGGCAAGTGTTGTAAAAGTAAACGGGTCGAGATCTGTACACAAAATGAACTCGTGACGGTACTTTATGCATGCCTTTCTCAACAGCACAACGTCATTTTTACCATACTTTGCCAGTTCTTTTTTAAAATCAAAGACTTTGCCTGAGACTGTACAGTACCATGCATCAAAGTCTGATCTCTCTTTGTCTGACATCGTCTCATACCCGTAAAAATGTTTTTCGGGGTATGGGCCTATGTAGCAGTCGTTTTCGGCACGATTGAACACATGTGGAAAATAGCCCTTCTCAATATTATCTAGCTGAAATGCCTCAGGGGTCTTGGATAGACGCATTGGCATGAAAAGGTATGAATCTAAAAACCTTTGCTTGTATGTACGGTCAAACATGAAGATCAGACGACAGCCGCGCATTGTGATTTTTGGTGGTATTCCCATCCTAACAAAATATTCCAAAAGTATGAAATTGTCAAAACCAGACGCATTGTGTGCAACCCATGTATAATTACGATACTTGGGTCGTCTAAATTTTTTAATGAGACGATCCACACAATCAACTCCCTCAGCCACAAATTCTTCCCCGTTAAATGTAATCGCACACACAAAATTGGCAACGTGTTTACCATTTTCAAATCGTGTCTCAAAATCATAGAAAATGTAACGATCGCTCGGCTCCATAGGTTTGTATGGCTGTATAAAGCATTCATGTTCTCCACCAGTAGCCAAACTTTCACCACAGTGGACGCAATATTCAGCTTCACAACGATGTGGCTTGGGTTTGGATCCACTGATGTAGTAACGCCTGTTACACATTTTACAATATTTTGTAACATCGCATTGTGCAAACTGTTGTCCTGGTGGAGGTTGTTTATGCATCTCAAAACAGTACCTTGATCTACAGAAGCGCAAGCAGTCATTACACTGTATTATTTGTTTTGTTTGGGTATGACAGTCTGGGTAGTTGCAAACGTCGCACACATATTCACATCTGTGATTTCGTCTACATGTATAGCCTACATGACAATACTCACAAACGTATGGTGTACCTATGAATGCTGTTAGGTTTTTAATCAAAAAGTAATGACCGTCATGCAGGTATAAATATGCCGTTTTGGAATGTGGCTTGTCTGTAGTAGTATACTTTTCCAACATCCCAGTGTTCGAACGATAAAAGGTTACAATTTTGATATTCAGCATCTGTTCAAATCTCGCTATGTCATCAAATGCTATTTTGTACTGAACTTTGTGGCCGGCAGTTGTTTGCATGTTTGCTGCTATTGCTTCAAGTTCTGAATGCGACTTCTGAGGGTTTAGAAAGTGTGCTAAGCAAATTGTAAAACACAGATTATTCGTGATATTTGTAGGGCAAAACAAATTTATTTTGTTCCTTCTAATCACTTCGTCATGTGCTAGATCTTGTATCTTCCGACGACCGCCGCCATTTTTACATGTCGCTATTGACACACACAAATCCAACGCCTGATCCGTCTGTACTTCAGAGTTGCTTTGCATTATTTTTTCAAGCTGGTTGATAAAGAGGTCTAAATCATAGTTGTTGCGAGGCGACAATAGTGTATTAACATCAGACGTCAGACTCTCCCCTCTCAATGTAATGTTTATTACACCGGAATCACCGGCTAATAATCTGGAGAATGAAACTATTTCAGACAACAATTCATGTAAAAATGTTGTATAGTCTGCTAAATCTGTGGATGATATCTCCCGCAGGTTTATGCGTCTATGTATTTCCAGACCGTTAAACCGCGCTCTAGGTATTACAGTGTACTTGTGCACACTACCGCCTTGTCTCACTAGTGTTTCAATTTCATCTTGACTTAGACCCATGTTTGCTGCGGTGGGGTTAAATGTTTGGTAAGGACGTGTATCAGACCCCTCACCTGTCTGACATGATAATACAATCTGATCCTGATCTAATTTTGAATTCTGTTCAGACACGCTGCTCTGAGATGTATTTAAAAAGTGATCCATATCAAAATCAGTAGTAGACCATTCATCACATGCATCAATGTTCTGAGACATGTTTAAAAATTGATCTGGATCAAAACATAGTTCTCGTTGATTATCCTCAGATACATCACTGTTCTGAGGAGAACTCAAAAACACATTCAGATCAAAAGATGGTTCTGGCTGATTATCGGACATGGATTGAACTGAATTTAATAGTTCTATTAACGCATCAGTCGTAGATCTAGGTCTATCCATATCCTCAACCGTTTGAATTAAATGACGCAATGTTTCTGTAGTGTTTTGTTGGTTGTGGTGACCATCATTACTATCTCCTCTAAATCTCACTGTACGATATTGTTCATTACCATCTGAATCCAGAAAACGTTTTGTGGCCATTTTAACACAAATTTATTTATGGTAGTTAAAAAAAAAAAAAAATACCAATAGTTGTACAATAAGTAAATCAGTTACAAAAACTAATCATTCAAATCAATTACTAAAAATCTAAGTATATAGAAACCCTAAAATGAGCGTCTAAAACATAATACTACACATAAGACATATTGTAGAAAAAAGACATGCGATTTAAAAGAAAAAAAAACAACTTACCGAGATTGTTGTTTAAGTGTGTTGACCAGCAATGTCAATAATTGAACAGTCAATTTATTATCATTCATTAATATCTGTTGATCATTCATTATTTTCTGTTGATTGTACATTATTTTCTGATGATTAGCCATACATCGTCGAACTAAGGCCGCATGTTCCTTTGCATCAATTTTTAACTGCTTTAAATCCTTTGTAGCAGTTGCGATGAAAAGCTCGATGGTCCGTTTATCTCTCTGTTGCTGCGATGCAATATTGTTCAATCCATTTGATAGCTGTAAAAGAAGCTCCTTGTACTTCAGAATGTCATTTGTGGCAACTTTTGCATACGTGTTTGATTGATCCACAACTGGCGCCGGTTTTGTGTTTTGCTTGTTTTTGTAAGCCTCCTGGTTGGATGGTAGTGTATCAGAATCCGAATCTTGCACGGTGGTGGCAGCGTGAACCGGGATCTCGTTTGAGAACTCAGAAGCATTCCAAACATTCACCATATCGTCGTTCCATTTTTCAACATCGTCCTGACTCGAAACAACATTTGGGTCAGTCTGGCCTGTGTGTGTGTGAATAATGCTAATGAGTAAACATATCAACCAGATGTACATTTTTTTTTTTATATATCATTAAATAGAGATAACATACCTTGTGATTTTCTTGGTCGTTTTGGTTCAGGTGTATTTGGTATAACGCTTATTTCGTCAGATGTAGCATCCACATGAACCTGTGCTGTAGTGGTGACTACTTTCTGCTTTACACCACCGACACGACGGTCTCTCGGCACAATATTCCTTTTACGTCCTAAAATAAATGGAGGGTATGATTATTAATATTATTTTGGTAATAATAAATATAACAATGACTGATCTAACAATACATACTGCTCGTTCCTGCGCGTGTACTTGTTGTGTAGACCTCTAGTAGACCGGTAGACCGTTTGTCGTCGACACGGCTGACGATTTCACTCATAGACGCTGTAGTTAAAACAAACACAACACAAGATTTTTTTTTTCATTATTATTTAACACATGTGGAAAAATAAACAAGAAAAAAAAAAGTTTTTAAAAATTACCTAGTGGTAATGTGTTTTCATGAATACTCGTCAGGGGTGACGACACATTTATACACGCTAGTAAAAAAAAAAAAGACAAGATTTTTTAGTGGATGTAGAAAACATGAAAATAGACAAAAAAAAAAGTTTTGCTAAAGAAATACCTGATGGTGCATCTTCATGAACTGTCCGAGGTGCAGACGACTCGTTAATACACTCTAGTAAAAAAGAGACAGACTAATTTAGCGTGTACGCCTATAGAAACATAAAACAGACAAAAAAATAAATAAAACGTGAAAAGCAAATTTTACCTTGTGAGCTACGATTTTCAGCAAGATTTTTAAACTCTAATGGTGACAATAAAAGAAGAAAATTATGACATATCCCATCACACAATACCGTAATGTATAAATAAAAACATGTCATATATATATATATATATATATATATACATATAACAAACCAAAAAAAACATACCGTCAGTATTCAGCGCTAAAATCTCAGCCCATATCGCCTGAAGTCCTGGTGTCTGCAGAGAGAGGGGCAGTTCGCCTTTTAAGCGATGTCTGATTTAATAATCATGTATAATATTAAAAAAACAATTGCTTTAAACAACAGTATTTTGAATATTTCTTATATATAAACTTACCATTAGAGGTTCCTGCCATTTTTATTTCCGGAACAATTTATTTTTTTCCCCCAAAAAAATTGAAAGCCGAAGTCTTTTCAACCACGTTGGTTTTCCGAAATACTGTGATTTTACTCTTAGGGACGAGGGCTTAGTGTCTTGTAAAATGATGTGTGAAAAAAGTGGGCGTGTGTTGATAGTCCACACCTCCAATGTAAAACACACATTGTACTGGTGTAAAAAAACAAAACAATTTTAATATACGAGTAAAAGTATATATTGCTCAAATAATGAAATAAATTAAGATATATTAAATAATACACATCTTTTCTTTTAGCCAGTATATCGATTTTTAAAACATCTGATTGATGATCTGCTTTTGTGTATGTGTAAGACAATTAAGCACACAATGAATATTATACATTATTTATTTCACGCATTTATACATACACATTTTTATTTTTTTTTGTGAATATAAAATATATGGATTTTTCTGCACTTTTCATTGTTTCCTTTTTAAAACATCCTTTTAAAAATAATTTTGTTGTTGTTGTTTTTTTTACCACAACACATGGCTCCGATGTGAATTAAAGTACCACAGACTACGTCACAGCAGGAATAAACGAGATAAGGAGAGAAGCTTTTTTCTGGGGGTACAGATGTCTACATAGCCACCATTCCCAAACAGTAGGACGGCAGATAGCACGACGACCAGGGTAGTTAGATAAAACCAGAACTTTTTAAGATCAAACAAAGTTTTCAAAGTAAGACCAAAATCAAAGGATCCTCAGTCAGCGGTATACGAACGATTGCCCGATTACACCCCAACAACCTGAAACCCCCCCTACATACACTCACAGATTGGAAGGAGCTGGAATGCCAGAAGAGCTGCATAGGTTGTAAAAATGACAAACCATACACATTGCCACAAATCTAACTATACTGTAAATCTTTGCCAAAATCAGCCCGACACTTGGTTCAACTGTCAATTTGGGACAAACCGTCATAAATCCTACCACTAAGCAGGGACCCTAAGCCTGTGAACTGGGGAAAGCAGCCTGTCATTGGTCACCAGTCTTACATTCATGAAACACATTGGACAAACCATGCCATAAATTATTACCATACCGTCCAAAACATACTCATAAATTATTGACATAAGGCAATAAATCATCTTGACACTGTGTGTATTATAAGACTACTTATTTATTTGGTTACATATTAGCAAATTTTCCACCTGGACAGATATGGAAAATTTGCAGTAATGCAGGTGGTGGTAACATTGTACGTTCAATAAGTCGAGCACAATTATCTAAACAGTTGTCTAGCATGTCGATCAAACGGGTGAAGATGGCTTCACTAAAAGATAGTGTGGCAGTGAATTTAATTGGCCTCATGAAGTACGCTGAGCTCCAGTAGATGAATGTTGGAAAGACAGAAAAAAAAGGACTTAATCAAAGTAGTCCTATGAGAAAAGGTTTTAGGTCAACTTAAATAAAACCCTTGACGTTTTGATTCACTTCAAATGTTGACTACTTTAAACAAGATGGTGTACCAGCATGTATATCAATATTTGGGTTGAGGGATTTTTAATGGCATAAATCACACAAAATTACTTTAAAGTAATTTTAGCATAGCAAACTTAAATTTAAGCACATAAAATATTTTTTTCCAACAGCAAAATTGTGAATATTGAAAACAAAGAGTGGCTAGTAACTTTGAATCATTACTTGCCACCATGGATGGTGAGCAAAAAAGTTAATGTCATGCCTTGCCAAAAATCCACATAAAACATATTTTTTCTCTTTTTGCAATGTAGATACATAAACAGCCAACAGGAATGAAGGCGATTTCCTTAAAAACAGCTGAATGGGAAGTCATTTCTATGTTCCCTTTGGCCAGTAATCTGTCTGAAATGGCTTCAGGCACAAATGCTGAGCCCATACAAGCTCCTGAAACTATGAATACATCACGACGGTGGCTAATAGAACAGTGCATTAGCTTCTTACCCCAGAGGCTTTTCCAGACGACTGCCTGGTGAACCCACTATCTCACCCAGAGTGCAGAAGGTCTGACCCAAGAAGTCCTACAGAAGGACGGCCCAAACAAAAAGACGGCGAACAAAAGAAGGCAGAGAAAGTAAAGGAGAGATAGCAGAATGAGTCAGGGTGGAACTTGGTATAAATGAGTTGTACCGGTAAAGAGATAAGTCTAGGAGTGCAAGGCAGAGACGTACGTTGAAATCGGAGGGCTTCCAGGAGGGAGGTGAGGCCGCAAATTTAACAATAACAACAGAGCATATCATGTAACAGAAAAGACAAAAAAAAAAGAAATAAAAACGAATTGAAGAAGTCAGGCCGAAGAGGATAGGAGAGAAAAAACGAGAGTTAGAGAATAGTGAGAAAGGATTCTGGAGAAGAGAGAAAGGAAAAAAACACCCACGATGATCACAGATTACACGCACAAAAAAATAAGATAATAGCACTGAAAACTGAAAATGATCACATTTACTTACACAACACATTCGGATGGTTCTATACAAAATCAGAATTTCATAAACTGCACCCATTGAGGGTTGTTTATTTTCACACTGCAAATGTTTTGGAACTGGTTTTATTAAATGCAATTATCCAAATTAAAGAAATTAGAGAAATATAAAAACTGATGAAAAAAAACAAAACCTATTATTTTCAATTTCTCTAAAACGTGTGTAACAAAGTAATATTATTAATAATAATAATAATAATAATAATAGTTATTATTATTATTATTATTATTATTATAGTTGTATTATAATAATAATAATTATTAATAATAATAATAATAATAACAACATTATTATCAATAAAAATATTTATTATGTATATAATTATTTTATTGCTTTGATTAATTGCATTTATTGCTCAAAACACATAACTTGCCACACATTTTAAAAGTCTATTTAACAAATAAAACAGGTTTTTATCAAAAAATAATGAAAACTGAAAAAACTGCCAGCCCAGAAGTGTTAAGTAAATTCATCCTTCAGTTTCTTGTCAAGATATATAATTAACAAGTTTTTTGTCATAATAATAGGGAACAAACTGTCTTAACCCAAGCAAAACAGGCACACTGCAGAGAACATTCAGAACCTGTGTAATGGTGCTAATTTTATTCGTCAAAGAGGGAAACTACACCCCTTTTGATCATAACATAAATGATGACATGATTTGCAATCATTTTTTGATTGCATAAAACCAACCGAAAAATCAACAACTACGCATGCCAAATATGAGAGCAACTGGCAATGAAAACAACAAACGTGCATGTACACACAAGCAAACATGCATGCATTCACAGTATACACACACATACAAAGTGCTACACTTACGTGTTTGGCCAAATCCGGACTTTTGGAGTCAATGTCATATCTGAAATCCAAGAGAACAGCCTCAGTTTTCTGTTGGATAATGGCGTGTCCTATATTTTAAATGACAGCCCCGTTATGTGTTATGGAGAGGAATGCTCTACAATCCTCACATTAATTGATCTGAGATTCTTGAAGATCGGAATATTTTGCTCTCTTGAAAGAAAACTCAACTGGCAATAAAAATGAATGTTCGTCCTATTTTTTAAATTATTGTTACAAATGGGGTCCCCTAATTTCCAATGCATAAAGTGTGAAATCACCGAATTCAGTCATTTATTAGCTGTATAACATGGAAAACTAGGTCTAGTACAAAGAAAGGAAGGCAAAGGAAAGGAAAGGGTAAAATGAAGGGAAGGGAAAGAAATAAAAGGAAAGGAAGGGACAGGAAAGTCATGCGTTTTCGCTGTGCCGTTCTAAGGTGTTTACATACTTGGTGGTTCTTAATAGTTGTGTGGGACTGTGGGGGAGATTAGATTTGCGTTCTTTAATCTAAATTCTCTTTTTTCCTCGCTTTTCTGTTTTTGTTGTGATTTGTACATTTGTTTGTCATATGTTAGATTAGTCAATAAATCCCGCTATAACCACGCTTCTATTGTCTTTGTTTTGCCGCACAGAAAAGGTCACTTTCAAAGTAAAATATTGCTACAGCTTCAAAATGATTCATCTACTTCACAAGAAGTAGTTATAATTTTCTTTCTAAATAAATAAATAATTACAGTCCGCTTACACAACCGGGTGAAGTCAATGTTATATTTATTTTGTTAATTTAACTATAAGTTAATTCTGAATATTCATAATAAATAATAACTTGTTGGTGATATTACTGATATTATTAATTTCGCTACAAAGGAAAGGAAATATAGAAAAGTACTGAGGAATTACATTTCATCTTAAATAAGTACTGTAAGTAAATAATAAGACAGACAGAAAGTAAATTGAAAAATACAGAAGGAATTAGTAAATTAACATTAAAAGGAAAGGAAAGGGTAAAAGGAAGGGAAAGGAATGTAAAGAAAAGGAGAGGAAAGGAAAGAGTAAAGGGAAAGGAATGGAAAGGAAGCAATGCAGCAGAGTACTGAGAAAATACATGTAATCTTAAGACCACCCTTAGTCCACATTTAAATTCTTGCGGCTGTGAAATGAGAGTGGAAGTGAAGTTCTGAGGCGCAGCTGGTTGTCTGTGAATATTTGCAATGGCATAATCGGGAATTGGCATAAATGTGGAAGGTTTCTTGGTGAACCCTTCAATTAAGTCCAGGGTTGCACCGCAGAAGCCCTTTTTCAACTCAGCAGAGCCCATTTAAGAAGGTGAATGAGAGCAAGACGGACAGTCTGCCACAGGGATTGGAAGAACACGCTGTAAATCATCCGGGGATCCTGCGTCACGCATTGGCTTTTGAGCGGCTGCGTGAAGATTGAGGATAAAACTCATCTGAAATATTTATCACCCTTTCACTGATCCAGCCCCTTACACATGACTGTCAAGAGAGAGAGATGCTGCATCAATAATTACCAAAGAGGAGGTGCTGGGAGAGATAGAGAAAGAGACAAACAGAAAGAGCGGAGTGGGACAGCTCATCGAGAGAGAGAGAGAAGCAGATTCCTGTGTGTCAGCATCAAAGGGAATAACTCACATGTCAAAGCGCAGATTCTGCTTCTCCTCAAAGAAATAGTCCAAGATGTACTTTCTCACAAAGTCTGGGTTCAGGGTGTTGTCGATGACTTCAGTTCTCCCAAACTACACAAAAAAAGAGAGAGAAACAGCTATATTAAGATTAAAATATCTATATTATGGCTACAGACAAGTCTACATTACTGTTCAGTTCGTTAACTGCTGGTTTCTGTGAGTCCATAGCCTTAAGAAAAACTGGGACAGGAAGCGATGATATTTTGAGAGGTGAAGTGTTTCTGCAACTAATGAACAACAGCAACCCCTGCTCGCTGTGTGTGTGTGCGCGTGTGTACATGTTTGCATGCAAATGAAGAGTACACAAGTAATAAATATTCAAGAATATTCATGAGTTCAGGGCTCGGAGAACACATGCTTGGGATGTCACTTTAATGACAATCTATTCATCCACCTTCAGTACTGTAAACAACTGTGATTTTTATGCTAATGTAAAAATAACAGTTGGGCACCAGTTTTCTGTCTAATACAGGAATGCAGCCATAAACAACCCTCTTCAATACATTCCTAGTGTAACATCCAAGGTTATTATAGTTAACGAAAACGAACATCATTCATTCATTCATTAATCTGGGGTCACCAAAGCGGAAAGAACAGCCAACTTATCCAGCATATGTTTTACACAGCAGATGGTACAACCCATCACTGGGAAACAGCCATACACACTCATTCACACACATGCACTACAGACAATTTTAGCTTACCCTACTCACCTACGTATATCACGTCTTTGGACTGTGGGGAAACCGAAGCACCAAAAGGAAACCCACGCAATCACGGGGAGAACATGCAAACTCCACACAGAAATGCCAAATGACCCAGCCTAGACTCGAACCAGCAACCTTCTTGCTGTGAGGCGATCGTGCTACCCACTGCGCCACCGTGACGCCAACAAAACTGAACAAAAATTAAACTAACTGAAACTGTATTGTGTACTCACAAAACTAACTGAAATTAACTAAAATTATAGCAAAAACATTCTTTGTTTTCATCTTTGTAAATGTATTTAATACAGACTGTAAGCCTTATAGAATCTACAGTACTTACTTCGCGCTGCCATGTGTTTTACCAGTATGGCACCTCAGAGTCGGTAATCCTCACTGTTGCTCCCATGACAAAAACAGCAGCTGGACTTGAGAGCAGCACGGTAACAGCATTAAATATGACCCGAGGAGAAACTTATAAGTATTAATTTAACACATTTGTGCCCGATAATGGGTTTTACTTCTGTATTAGTGATCGCGATTGTGAATGTATCTTCATCTTCTACAGTAAGTGTACTGGTTGAACTAATTCACCAATTGAATCATTTGAATTTATTCACGTCTCCAGTAACATTAAGCACTTATCCACAAACAACTTACTGTTTACATGCCTGTTACCCCCTCTGACTCGAAATAAACCAATATATATTGAGTTATTTAGTTATTAGAACAGTACACAGCGCTTGCATGATTCAGTGAACCGAACCGAACACAAACAGTACATGACAGCCTGATGTGACTGAACTAAACTTAAACAACTGCAGTATGGGTAAACTGAAGGCTTACATGAGAGGATCTGGCAAAACATAAGTTTATTTAAAAACAGAAAGTGGTAATGCAATAAAAAATAAGTGAATCATGCTACAGATTTGTTGCAAAACATAATTGTAAAAAAACTTTTCAGATCATGGTGATGTTCTAACTGACTGAAATTATGATTGCTGACTACATATTCTTGATATGTTGAGTCCAAACTATGGAAGATTGTCACAAAACAAATATAGCTTATCTTTAGTTGAGTTTTTTTTATACAATACTCTGATGTTTTTGAATCTTGCATGTAACAAACATCCTAAATTACAAACAAAAAACTAAAACTAACACTGAAACTAATAAAAACTAAAATAAAACTAAGCAAATTCAAAACATAGAAACTAATAAAAACTAGTGAATCTAACTCTAATACTAAATAAAACTAAATTAATTTGAAAACAAAAAGTCAAAACGAAATAAAAACTAAAACTAATGAAAAATCCAAAGCTATAATAACATTGGTAATATCGTCTGAAAAAGTCTTTAATCCACTGTTGACAAAAGCTTTTCTTTATAAACAGCATATGTATAAATGTTTTCAGTATAAGGGAAGAAGGAAAAGAAAGAAGAAGGGTAAAGGTAAACGGTAAAGTGAAGAATGAAGGGGGAAGGGAAATAGGAAATAGAAAAGGTGAAGAGGAAGGGTAAAGAAAAGGGAGAAGGGGAAAATAATAGGAAAGAGTGACAGGGAAAGGGGTAAGGGGGAGAGGAACGGGAAGGAGAAAATGTAAAGGAAGAAGTGAAGCGAAGAGAAGAGAAGAGAAGAGAAGAGAAGAGAAGAGAAGAGAAGAGAAGAGAAGAGAAGAGAAGAGAAGAGAAGAGAAGAGAAGAGAAGAGAAGAGAAGAGAAAAGAAGCCTGTTGTTTCAGCACTGTATTCTTGAAAGATGCTCTGCAGTCGCTTCCCTCAGCTAATTGTGTTTCCCATGAATAATTAAACAAGATGAGGCAGATGAGAAATGCATAAATAAATGAATCACCAGAAGGGTGTTACAACATCCCAGCCGTGCAGAAATGAAGGAGACAGCTTATGAGGGAGAAGGGAATGATAAGGTGCTTTAAACATACTGTAAAGACCATCCCACAGCGCTCCGGTTTCATAATAGTCGATTATCTTAAAAACATCCAGTGTAATATATTGCTAATGTTTGAAACATATCTGTCTGATATCCTCTGCCGTAGTTTAGAGATGCATAAAATCATTAAGAGGCCATTTCTAAATTACCAGAGCCACAATCATCACAACTTAATAGAAGTAAAATTTGACTGACTTTAAATGTTAATGCTTAACAGGAGTGACTAACATTCTCAAGAAAAGCTCTGTGATAGCAGAGCTCAGTCATTAGCATTCAAAACATAATGCTTTATGTACTGCTAATACGACCTCACAGTCTGACTTCTCATCATTTCAGCAGCTGCTATAAATCATTTTGTTGGCCTGCTGCAGTTTATAAAGCCATAAAGCCTTTTTACTGTTTGTCATATGGTGCATTATTCTGCAAGAATCTCACTGGTTTCTAGCAACCTTTTTTTTGTCAAAATTCCTTTTCGAGCAAAAATCCCATTGGTGAGAGCAGAGATGCAAAGAAATGCTTTTAAGTTAAATCGCCAAACTGCTTTTAAAAGAGCTTTACCTCCTGTTGAGTGTTAAAGCGGCAACCAAAGCACAGCGAAAAACAGGGTGAAACATTTTGTCCAGACTGTTACTGTGCAAAACAAAAAGACAGAACCCAGCAGGAGCATTAGCACAAGGTCAAATTCTGAAATTAAGTTACAAATGAAATACAACATTGTCTTATTTTGGTTTGAGACAGGAGACTGGAAAAAATGATGTGCAAGAGCAGATAAATCACCTTATCCAAAACATAATAAGCCTACAACCATAGGTGAGTATAATTATCATGTGTTCTAAGTGCTGCACTAAATAATAGGGAAGCATCTACCCTCACTTTTTTCATTACAGATAAAAATCTGGTCTTTTTTATGAACAGCTTTGGATATTACCACTCTTAACGGCAGTCCACACCAAAAACAACTTCTACTATATGATTATTGTAACAAAGACTTAAATTTTTGGAATTATTTTCACTATTTCTTACACCTGATGGACGATAAAAACTGAAAGCCTATGAAACCCAATAAGCATGAAACCAAAGGTAATGGGGAAAAAGAAGGGGGAAAAAATTAGAAAAGAACATTAAAGCTTTAAGGGTCATGAAACCCTTGATAAAAAAATTTTCAACAGATTTATGCCTGTTGAACATTAGAATCTGTAGCTGTTATTGTTCAGAACAACTGGTTAATTTTAAAACTTGCTCCACATATTTGGTTTAAAGGGGACCTATTTTACTGTACCCCTTTACCCCTAAAGATCTTTATCCCAAGATTTAAGATAAGTCTTTTGTGTCTTCAGAATGTGTTTGTAAAGTTTCAGCTCAAAACACCCATCAGATTTATTATACCTTTTCATAATATTGGAATTTTCTGCTTTAAACACAATATAGCTGTTTTTGTTGCTTGTGCATTTAATGCTGGTTCTCCCTGCCCACCGTTCCCACGTGCCTGTCAGAGTGTGCCTCAATCTCTGCCTCGACTGCGTCAGATAAACAGCACAGTGACAGACATGAAGGAAACAGATTTTATGTAACGTTTGTGAGAAATACTACAATAAGATCTTTCCCAATGATTATTTGATGGATTTGTTGAGGAGTTGCAACGATGAGTCTTACACAATGTCATTATAAAGTTCATGCGCACACACACACACACACACAGACAACGAACACACACAAAACACATTAAACACACACATGTTTAACTTTGCACTGTTTTAGCACGGCAAATGTGACAGGATACACTCTAATATCCACTGCTATATGGATATCCGTAATGGTAGTGTACAAAATAAACCTGATTTATTGTCCACAAACCTGGATTAAAGCGTCTTCTTTAATAATTGTACTGACATGCAGCTGTGGTGATAAAGGCAGTGAAATCGCTGTAATTCATGACAAACATGCACTGTTTAAAAAAAAAGTTTTAAATCTATAAAACCCATTCTTGATCACATTTAATGATGATTGTTGATCACAGCAAACTCAACAAATCTTTTATTCAAAGTTGCTTTGAGCCCATCCTGTCTTGTGGATATGATTACACATGTTACTACAGAGAGATGTTAATCAATTTGGTGGGTGTGGAAATCTTAATTTTTTCAGGATTTTTAAAAAAAAGTGACTTATTGTCTTTATATCACACCAAAATGACTGTGGACACACTACACCTGCACACAGTTCTGTCTAAGCAGCTTCCAAAAGATGATTTTCATCATAGGTGGCCTTTAAAAGCAATATCAGGATGTCGTCACTGGTGGTGACGTAGCATTGTTAGTACTTCAATGACGTGTCAGTGTCTAATTATTATGGGACTGAGCTTTATTATCCTATTAAATAACACTGTGAATTATTTTGTCAAGTTGTGAGACTAGGCATTATTTAGGTATTCATGATGGGTCACTGTGATAGCAGTGCTGTCAGATGTATAAACTTCTATAAGTATGTACTGAAATATAAAAAATGTGAAAGTAGCAGCATTTCCTATTTACATTTTGAGCACTGCTAACTCTATCGGCTGATCTATCTGCAGATTGACATGACTTTTAAATGAGTTGTTGGAATCAGTTTCAGACTGTTTTCTTGCAGCTGATGATTAGTAACGTTTAATTTAAAAAATATATATTTTGGCCTTAAACTTAATCTGGCTCTAAAATCGGCATGAATATGTAAAATTCCAGTGATTATAGGGCATTTTGTTCATTGAGAACTGATTGGATTATTGATGGCTGCAATCTCATGAGAGTTACAGACCCATATATACTGCATATATATCATGCTATTTATATTTTTAAGTGCCCCTCCAATGTAAGTGCAATAGCAGGAGTGCTTTCAACTTGCTGAAGGGAACCATTTTCGCTGCTGCCCCTGCTGTGGAAGTCTGTGCTAACCACTGGCTTTTAGTGTGAACGGGCATATGATACTTAATTTCTGAATTAAATCTTATAGGTGTTGTATGTCATTTTCTACTGCAATAGCATTCAGAAAATATCCATTTTAGTTGGATTTTTTTTCAGTCAAGCAAAAGAAACTGATGTGGTTTCTGTCTGTCTATTATTCAATGCAATCATAAGCAGGTCATGCATAGGAAGCAGGAAACTGAGGGTATGGTGGCTGAAGCAGATCACTTATGTTTAACATAATACTCGGCTACATCATCGGTTGTCGGAAAGTTTGTGATATGAGAATAGGCTTTTAACAAAGAGGGGGTGTGTCTTATTGAGAAGCTGCGGAAAGACATCACCTTTGCCTCGTGGCAACTGTAAACAAGGCATTTAAAGCATAGGTCTCGAAATTGATTCCCGGAGGATTGCAGCTCTGCACAGTTTTGCTCTAACCCTAATCAAACACAGCTGATCCAACTAATCAAGGTGTTCAAGAGCTTAACTATGCAGAGCTGTGGCCCTCAAGGAATTGAGATTGAGACCTATGATTTAAAGCAGGGGTGTCCAAACTCAGTCCTGGAGGGCCGGTGTCCTGGGGAGTTTAGCTCCAACCCTAATCAAACACACCGGAACCAGCTAATCAAGCTCTTACTAGATATACTAGAAACATCCTGGATGGTGTGTTGAAGCAAGTTGGAGCTAAACTCAGCAGGACACCGGCCCTCCAGGTCCGAGCTTGGACACCCCTGATTAAAAGGCACATTTAAACCAAAAATTATAACTTAGGTTAGCCTCATGCTGTTTCAAACCTGTATGACTGTTTCTTTATTTTAACACACAGCAAACATTTTGAAATATAGTAACAAGTTTGATTCCAATTAACCAATTTGGAGCAAAGGTAAGTGATGTAAATGATCAGAACTGAACTGTATCTTTTAATAACTACACCTTAGTTGTTTTGGATTCACTTGGTAGTACTAGCAAAGACTAAGCAATACACAAGATATGTCATCCGCACAGTTTTGAATGGGGTAAACGAAATGGTCAACATGGTCACTCTAGGGAAGAAAGCCCCACCTTCTAGTAAAGGAGGCAATAATCAATGGCTATAGACTGACGAGGGGCTCGTTCCAGCCGTTTGTTCTTTACAGAAGCCTTTGAAGCTTAATTGTTATGAACCCTCTGGGGTCCTCAAACATGCTGGAATCTCGACAAGTACTTTCCTAACAGACAATAGAAATGCATCTGCATAAAGCTTGAAAGCTCTACTTTTAAATGAACCAACTACACTTGAAAATAAAAGGTTCTGTAGTTCTGTAATCTGTCTGAAACAAACACAAGTCCTCTCGTCTGACCTCTTAATTTTAAATGAATTCCAACCTTCGGCATTCAAATGTAAATTACACGATGTCAACCACTTGAACGCCCACAAATATGTAAACAAAGATGTTGTGATTTTGGGAGACTATCTGCAGTCAGAAATAATCTAGAAATTACCTCAAAAGAGCAGTGCAATCAGACATGACTTTATTCAGAGGATGACATTGTGTAACACGCAAGTTACTGATTTTAATTACACAGTTTGACTGACAGGATATCTAATCGAGTCCTACAGAAACAACTATAAAGGAGTTTATTTCTTTGGATGCACATCTAAATTAGCTTGTGCTAACTCAAAAAGTATATGTTTTCTGTTATGATATTAAAAGTTTAAAGTCAAGATTTTATATTCAGTTTTTGTTACATTCTGTAACGAACATAGCAGACACTCATTCATTCCACCACCAGAGGGATATTAACCCCGGAATATTCCCACCCCAAAATATTAACTGTGTGTTTCCTTTGTGGTAGTTCCGGTTACCACCGCTTATCAATACCCTGTGTAGACATTCTTGTAGCGAAGTATAGACTTTTTCCACATTTCTGGATTTCTCAGTAGCAAAAGCCGTCATAGTTGGAAAAACTTAGAGCGCAGGGAATGGGAGAATACAACAAATATTTTTTTTACAATTTTATTTGCTCAAAAAATAAAAGAAAAACTCCACGATGGTGTTAAAAAGACTTTCAGAAAAAGGAAAAATCTTGCACAAGCGGTGATTTATTTTTTACATACATAAATACATTTAAACATTTATAGATTTAAAAATATATACATATTAAAAACTTTTAAGGATTTAAGATGCTTTAAGGCCATTAAACGCATCTTAAAAGGCTTATGAAAAGGGTTCATTGCCAGTTTACATCCTTACTGAGCATTTCTTTTTCATTGTGTTTGCCTCATTGTTAAGATCTATTGCCTGCCTGTTAACCTGGTTCTTTAGATTTTGGAATCAGTTTGTTTCATTGTGTTGGACTGCCTTAACATTTGTATTGACCTTGCCCTTTTCAGACTGAGCCTCTGCCTGTACTTTGTATAGTTGTTTGCTCATTAAAACCTCCAGCATATGGATTTACATCATATTAATGTCTTTGCCGATGGCTCCCTTACACATCTCATTGGTAATTCCAAATACGAAATTTAATTGTGAGTTTGACAAACAGTTTTGGAGAATTTAATGTTTTCCGATTCAATAAGATGGAAAATTGTATTTGCATGTCTGAGAAATATTTCAAAGATGTCCGCCGAATGAAATGACTTGCCTTAAATGAACTTTGGTACTATTAAAATTATGAACACTGGTGTACTTAGATTCAACAAATAAGCTTCTCTAGTCGTGTTACACTAATATTCAAGCCATCGTGTTAAACAAATACACCAATTTTTACAAAATTCAATGGATTTTTTTTAGACAGAGAATATTCTATGCAACCCATTTAAGTGCATACCATTGGATGGCTTATCACATATTAATGTATAAAGAATTAAACACAGTAAACATTTTAGCAAAAAAGGCTAACAGAACATGGTATTCAGTAGCCGAAAATTTGGACACAATCATCCGGTCAATGCCAGGCAGCTTACGCCGTGTTAGCAACAAAGAAAGAGACACACATACTCGCAAATCTCCTGCTGAGACAGAGCAACGCACAAAGAAAACTCCATCCTTATCAATCCCTTACAGCTTGACTGCCTCTTTTCCACTGCGGTTGGTATTATACCCAAACAAGAGGAATCTTACACGGGCCAGATGCAAGGAGAAAAAGTCTACACAGCTAATCGGAGTAAGCAACCTGCTCAAGTGTTACGTAAGCCGTCGTCTTTCATCGCAGGTGAAAGGTGTTCCATCAAACCTGGCTGCGAACACCACGGGATGCTTTTATTTTGGGTCAAAAGTTGTCACGGCTCTTTATGCGCCCCACCTGACATTTGCAACTGCCCCGCAAACACCTGCTCCAACAACTGCCACCTGCTAATAGGGGATTCAATTAAAAACGAACACAAACCGAGCCCTGAAAAAGAGTGCCGCAGTGCAATTTTGTCATATTTTTATAGCATGCACGGTGATGGATATGGTAGCCTGAGGACGGCCGATTTCTAACTGATTGCAATGACCTGCCAAAATCTGGGAGTCGGGACGCTTTTTAAGTGTGAAAAATCACTTTGGGTGAGCCTGGACGCATTACACATGCACTGGTCTATAACTTTCAGGCTGATCGACTTTAATGCTAATCGCTAACGGAAAGTGTACAATCATCTTAACAGCCAATCAGTCAGGGCCATGGGGACAGAGTGATGAATATTCATGAGGAGAATCAATGGGCAGTGATGGGCACTGGAGAGAGAGTGAAGGGGGTGGAGAGATACAGAGCAGATTAGGGTAAATGAGGGAGTCTCTGTCAGAGCTGATTATAGGTTTGTTTCTGAACGTGAACACTTACCTCACGCCACTGCTTAGACTCTGCTCCCTGAGTATATAGAATACACACTGAGAACAGAAGAGAAAGGGGGCAGAAATCAGCATCAATTATATTTTAGGAAACATCTTTTAGATAGTACAAACATTTAAATTCAAAGCCAACTCCTAATCTAATACTGATATAATGAAAGAAGATAAGTTAATTAAATCCCTGGAAAAAAAAATAAATAAGTCTCAACGTCTTAAAGGTTTTTTATAGGCAAAAATGAGATTAAATTAAGGATGGATAAAGTAGTCTGCTTACATTTCTCTCATGAGAAATTCAAATTATAATGCCCTGTAATTTATAATTTCCCACACTGTAAAACCCAAAAACTTAAGGTAACTCAAACCATTTGAGAAAACCGATTGCAACAAACCAATTGAGTTCAAAAACTAATCCAAATAAGTACTGTGAACCTAATCCATTTGAGTAAAAAAAAGCTGTTTGAGCACAGTAAAGCCCAAAAAATGAAGAGAATTCAAACCAACTGAGTACAGTAAAACTCAGTAAGTTAAGTCAACTCAAACCGTTTAAGGAAACCGATTGCAAAAAATCTTTAGAAACAAATTAAGTTAAAAACAAATTTACTCCATGAGTAATGTGAACTTGCTCCATTTAAGTTGAAGTAATGTTCATTACCTTCCACACTGAGTTCAAAACTCTTTTCAAATGAACAGAATTAACTTTCAGTCAATTAGAGTTAACTACACTCATTTCATTTGATACAGCTGACAGCTGGGTTTTACAGTGCATTGCTTGTATAAAATTTCTAATTTAAACCAGAAATGTTAGAAAGGTATATTACCTGTTTATTATAGAAAACAATCTTCACTTTACTACAGAAAATTTTTATAATTTCCTATTTTCACCTATTTTCAGAAGAAATCTTAATAGTTCTTCCAAATCATTTGGCCTATGCAGTTTTTTATTATTTTATAATTCAGTTCAACAAAGTTATGAACACTATGCCCTCATCTAATATAATATCACATTTTGATGTATAAATATTTGTAATTTATTCCTTCAAAATGAATAATGTTACGCATGACCTGTTTCATAAAAAACATATTGCCTCATATATCACATTTTTGCTTATATATATTTTTAATTATTCAAAAATGCATCTATGGTTCACTCAGAAACTGTTTATATTCTATTCCTCTATGTGTACAAACAAATCTGAATTTCAGAGTGAATCATAACTAAATATTTGAAGCAAGTAAAATATAATATAATATAATATAATATAATATAATATAATATAATATAATATAATATAATATAATATAATATAATATAATATAATATAATATAATATAATATAATATAATTTCTTTTCGGCTTAGTCCCTTTATTCATTAGGGGTCGCCACAGCGCAATGAACTGCCAACTTATCCCGCATATGTTTTACACAGCGGATGCCCTTCCAGCTGCAACCAATCACAAGGAAACATTCATACACACTCATTCACATATGCTTGCTTTTAGAATTTGACAATGTTAAACAACCAATATGAACCTATTAGGCTTTCATTAAAAATTGCAAATTTTTTATATCTTTAACATAAAATTTCCCTGAAGAAAAGGCAACTATTAAGCAATCAAAGTCGTACTCGCGAAGATTAAAAATGCAATAAAGGCCAGTCTATTTGACCCATTGCTCTGTGTTTCATAATCGCATGTCTTCAGCGAGAGATTTACTGTACACGGGTCTAAATGTCCCCATGACTCAAGAAGCATTTGTATTCTGGAGGCCGAGTTCATGCTCTGCATATATTAAGCGTTTCTGCATTTTTGTTGATAGTGAGGAAAAGCTGTCACATTGTGATGCAAATTCTATGCATGCATTTTCGGCAACTTGGAGAAATGGCAGAGTAGACAAATTACAGGCAAAGTGTGGAGAGCAGAAGAAACTCAGAGAGGTGTGTGGAAGAGACCGAACCTGAGAACAACATAGTGTTCGTGAGTTACAAAGCCAGAGGACTAACTCTGTATATGCGAACCCGTGTAGAAAATAGATTTTAAAGAGATTTTAGCTTCAAAGATAAATGCTTCAGCCATGAAAAAGAGAGATACTTACAAGGATCCGACTTGGAGAATGTGTCACGATCTAACAGGTTTCTGGGGAAACAGGAAGAACAAAGAAAGAGCTGATAAATTAGGTCAATTCGGTCAAACAGTTCAGGCATAAAATGACACAAAGGCCTCACAAATAAACCTGATGGAGCTCTCATTTACATCTTTTTTTCAGACCCCATCCATTTCCTTCCATTAGCAGCCACAAAAAGAGCTCTTGACATGAGATTTCGCCTCTAAGTGTTTTTGAAGATGCACCTCTATCATTCTTATAATGAAGCAAAGGCAGTGACATTACAGTTTTTACACACGTATTGTTCTCCAGTCACTCTGAAAATTCAGTAGTCCATTTGAAAGAATAAGGAACAGTATTTGGCTGCAGGAATAAGAGCAGAGAAAAAACTGAACAAAAAGAGCAGTTTTATATACAGTGCTACACGCATTTACATACATTTTTGGGAGGCAAATTGAACCTCAATTCTAAATTTGGCAGCCTGTACAGAAAGCCAAACAGAATGTAAAATTGACACTTACTGACTAAAAAAAAAGAGAAAAAGGAATTTTGTCTTTAAATAAACCAAATATACAATAACTCTAATACCCACAAAGCACAGGGTATCAGTAATGGGAAAAATGCCGCTACTTTTTTTAGTAATGAGTAATCAAATGAATGACTGTTTCTCTCGTTACAACGCCATTACTGTTACAGACAATATTGCAAATGTGAGTTACTATAATTGAGAACACTACAGCAGTTTTCATCCAAACAGCATTTCTCTTAATCACAGAACCAATCTCTTTCTCAGGGGTTTGTGTGTGTGTTTGGGGCTGGGGCAGGACACATAACCAACCAGTGATGATCATAGGTGTGTCTGTGAACGTGATGTGACTGAGAACATGATGATTGGCTTAGATAGAGTCCATTTCCATCTTTTTACAAGGTAGCTCTTGCAAACTGGAAATATATTGATCAGATATGGCAGGTGATTTTTACTTTATTAGCCTACATATCAGTTTTATTTGCACTATACAGTGTATATTATTAATATTACTAATATTATTATGTATTTTTGGTTCATTGTTCAGTATTATATTGAGCACTTCTTGTTAAACTGTTTACTTTTGTGAGCAAGAAAATACTTCAAGCAGGCTACAGTAGGTTATGTCTACCAGTTGTGTGACAGTTTTATAATTTTCATTTACATAATTCATATACAAAGAGAGTATGTACTGTATGTGTCATATTATTATTTGTTTATTTTTGGTACATTTCTTAAGAAGAAGAATTTATATTAAGATTTGTTTATTTACAATTCTTGTGAAGTGCAAGAAATACTTATAGTTCAAAACCATCAATAATGTTTTATTGTGCTACTATAATGATAATATTTAGAGTGATATGCTGAATTTGATGGTTGTCTCTCAAATTATCCTAGAACAACATTAAAATAGTGTAGATTAGTGTACAATGTTTTATATTTATTTTATAGTCATTTGACAAATTTAGTTTTTTTTTTTCTTAAAGTAACACAATAGTTACTTTCCCTGGTAATTAGTTACTTTTTTTATCATTTAACTTAGTTACTAACTCGGTTATTCTAATTACTCTTTTTAAGAAACATGCCCAAAACTGCTGGGCATAGTCCCATTCAAGACCCCTTCCAGTCTCAGCAGTAATATTCCATAAATAAAAACATTTTCTCCATGTTTTCAAAAATACCTCATTAAATTTTAAAAACGGACCTGTTGGTCTTCCTTATAATAATGTAATAAACTGCATCATACTTTTTTTTTCTTTAACAACTTTATACTTCTCACTTGACTTTAATTTCAATTTTGCTTTATGGGATTGAAGTTTTTTTTTTATTAAATCTGTTAAATACACAGTATTTTTGCATTATTATCCTATACTATGCTTCAATTAAATGTTTGCTAGCTGGTTGATTTGATTAACAGGTTATAACACTTTACATAATCATTTTGGGAAATATATTTGGAATAAGCATGGTTAAAAAATAAACTGCTACTAATGCAAACTATTGGATTAGAGTATAACAAGCTTGTTTCACTCGCAAACTTTTAATCAAAATGATATTGACTTTATTTTCATGAGTGCAAAAAAATCAAAGAGTAAATATCTATTGGGATTAATTTTTTTTTCCTGTGAAGAATCCAGAAAAGACTGCAACATATCTGCATTACTGAAAGAAATCTTAGGCAATCTGAAAAACCTGATTCAACTTTGTCAAGAATTCAGATTTGACTGTTTATAAAGTTTACTTATCATTTATCAGGAAATAAAATCAAGTGTACTTGTATAGTACAAGCAATCAATTCATATATAGGCCAGGGGCCGGTTGCACCAGCAGGGCATAAGTTAAAACGTTTCCTAGTTGTGGCATAAAGGGACGCTAAATTACAACTTACACATGACTAAATATTTTTGTGTGGCACCACTAAACTTAGTTTAAACGCGACACTGGGTTCCAACTGAATATTTACGGCAGCCTCCTTCCATGTATAACAGTAGAAAAGAGATGATGGAGAGATTAGTTTACATTGAGGAGCCCACGACGATAATGAAGAATGTTCTCCCACTACTCACAGCTTTATGTTCCTCCTAAATCCTGAGTTTTTCTCCCCGTTCTTTTCTCTTTCATGTGTAGTATATAAAAAATATCAAGTTTATTGTTTTGATTACGTCATGTGTATTTTGTGTACATTCACAGCTCATGATGCTGGTATGTGCATCATCTTTTCTTAGTGACTGAATGCAATGCGAAATACTATAAAAATGCAATTTGTCATTTCAATATCAAATGACAGTTATACATGCATATACTGTATATAGTTGCAGAATTGTAAAGCAGTGTAACAATTTAAATGCTTCTCATTGGATTGGATCTCATTATTCAATGCCACTACGCATCATTTCTACGGAGAGATTACGACCCACTGTCTACACTTTACCTTAAGAACATGTGGTGCAACTGAAAATGGAAAAGATTTTGTTACAAACTAGCTAGTAGTTACTAAGCCTCCAAAGTGTGGACTCTGTGTTAAAACTTACAAACAGCACCTGGATCCTTATGTGCACTAAATAAACAAACCATCAATAATCATTATATTTAACTGGTTAATCTTCTTAAAAAGGCTGTCATTTCATATCATTCAATTATTTTTCTCTTATATTGCTGCATCACAGATTTTAAATTGGGATGTCATGTGCAAAAGCATGAATTGGGTTTTAGCTGAACAAGCTGTGAGAGTTAATGATTTGGAGCTTAGATTTTTATAGCGATTTCGTGGTTGGGTCTTCCTAGGGAATAATGTAAAAATTACCAATTAGACTCCAGGTAGTGGTCCATCATGAAGTGTAAAATTAGTCTGACCATCTCCTGATTAAAGCAGCTTGGTTAAAATTATAAAGTGAAGCAAGTGATTCTCAGTGTGCCACTGTGATTTCACATATAGATCCTAAATTGAAGTAAATGAGAAATTCTGATTCAAAATAGAGATACACAATCTTTGTTCATTGATATCACACAAAAAGTACACATTTACAAAGAACATGTATCAGTTGCATGTTCAGTATCAGTAACAGGGCTGCACAATATATTGTTTCAGCATTGATATCGCAATGTGCGCATCTGCAAAAGTCACATCGCCAGATATTCAATGCTGAGTCTGATTTATAGTTGACTAGCAGCTACAGAATTGTATTTAATTACTGCAATAATATTGGATTTATTTGATTTATGAAAAAAAAAAACTCCTTTAGAATTTTTGTCTACATCTAGTCCGATTTTCTGGTCTAAATATCTACATTTCAAAGTGAAAACATAATTATTTTACTTGTTTTTAAGGGAAAAACTTTTTATTTTCATTAATTTCTTCTGAAGTTGAAAACAAAACAATTTTCTTACTTGATTTAAGCATTTTTAGATATTTGGACTAGAAACTACACAAAGCAAAGTAAGAAAGCATTTTTTAGCATTGTGACTTCATTTTCTGTACCTGAATACTGTTAGACGATACCCAGAAACTGTCAAAGGCTACGTGTGAACGGCCCAAACCGCATGGAATCTGATCTTTTTAATTTAGATTTAATTTAGAATTTAGGATTTCATGTGACTTTTACATAATCTTTGAGCGACATGCGTCCTCATTCTTTGCTTCAAACATCTACTTCTTAGCTGCATTGTAAAATGGCACACAAGACAATTACTTTAACACAGAAATTAGGTTGTTCATTTTGAAAAAACAAATTGAAGGCAAAACTGGTGCTTGTTAACCAATCTGGTTAATGATTTGGTTGAACGCGAAGCTGAAGAGAGTTGGGAGTGTTGCGAACAGGGGATCCATGCACTTTCATTTTAAGAGGCAGCTTTCTCTCTGAGTAAAAAAGGGCAGGTGCTTAAGCACCAAAACCCCCCTTCTTCACGTGCCTGTTTTTTATAATAAAGTAAAATAAAATCTGCAAACCGGGATATTGTGAACCAACTTCACAGTCTGCGTCTGCTCATTAACCCTTAATGAGCTCACTACACCAGTGGTTAGAAAGACGTGCACCGCAGTTGTCATAAATCACAAATGATCAGTGTTTTTAATCACAAGTGACTTATTTTAGGTTTTAAATGGCGAAATACACATTAGTAGTAGTAGAACAACTCTTTACAGTTCATGAAATACACCACAGTTGTCTGTGAAAAGGGCAATAATCATATTAAGCATAATCTGACAACGTGCTTAATACAGAACACACTGTGTGCATAATTAAACAGTTTGTGCTGTCCGTAACTGTACTTTCAAGAGTTCACACTTAGATAATGCTCGACTTTGATAGCAGGTTTGGCATGCTGTCCCGGGAAAGAACCCTGAGATCAGAGATAGATGAGGACCATGATCTGTACACACTGTGAATCTAATATTGGCCACATTTATTACAACAATGTGAGCAGATATGCAAAAAAAAAAAATCTGAATTTGAATTTCAAAATCAGTTTTAAGCACTAAGCCTGGCAGTGTGAACATAGACAAATAGA